AGGAAACTGTCAGCTCTGCAATAACCATTAAGACATTTCCCTGGTGAACATCGCAGGGAAAAGTTTCGTTCGCATCCTTCTCAACCACCTGAATAATCACCTGGAACAATGTCTTCTGCCGGTAAGCCAGTGTGGCTTCCGTCGTCATCGCGGGACCAAGAATATGATCTTCGCCGCCCGTCAACTTCAGGAGAAGTGCCAGGAAATGCGGACCCACCTGTACTCTACCTTCTTGGAACTGACGAAAACCTTCGCCAAGGTGAATCGTGAGGGACTGTGGAAAATTATGCAGAACTTCGGCTGTCCTTCAGCGATTCAAGCAGATGGAACGTCAACTTCACGACGGTATGATGGCGCCAGTCACGGACAATCGAGCTGTCACAGGGGCTTTCACAGTGAACAACGGAGTGAAGCAGGGATGCGTTTTGGCGCCTACCCTCTTCAGTCTCATGTTCTCTGTCATGCTGATGGACGCCTACCGTGATGAACGCCCCGGGATCCGCATCGCGTACAGGACGGACGGTCACCTTCTCAATCAACGGCGGATGCACTTCCAGTCGCGCGTCTCCACAACCACCGTTCACGAACTTCCCTTCACCGACGACTGCGCCTCAACACCACCACGGAAGAGGACATGCAACGGAGCATGGACCTGTTCTCCGCCGCCTGCGAGAACTTCGGTCTGGTCACCAACACGCAGAAGAGGGTGGTCATGCATCAAACGCCACCCAGCACAGCCCCTCCCCTCGACGGGTCGCAAATCAGCGTGAACCGAACCCAACTGCAAGTGGTGGACAACTTCACATATCTGGGCAGTACCCTCGCCCGCAGCACCAAAGTCGACGATGAAGTGGCCCATCGGATCTCCAAGGCTGACCAAGTCTAAGGCCGTTTGCAAAGCGTAGTCTGGAATCGCCAAACTGAAGATGTACAAGACGGTCATCCTCCAGATGCTGCTGTATGGAGCGGAGACCTGGACGGTGCACAGGAAACAGGCGCGGAGACTCGGTCACTTTCACCTCAGCTGTCTTCGACGGGTACTGAAGCTGAGATGACGGGGCCAGATACCGGACACGGACGTATTGGAGCAGACGGAAATGTTCAGCATCTACGCCATGCTGAGGCAACTCTACCTCGTAAGGGTGGGCGACGAACGGTTACCCAAACGGCTCTTCTATGGAAGTGTTGTCACGGGTTCCTGCCCCAATGAGGCCAAGTCCGTCGCTACAAGGACACTCTGAAGGCTCCCCTGAGGTGTCTGGCGATCAACCCGCAAACTGGGAGGACCTCGCCCACGACCGACCGACCTGGAGGAGGACAGTGAAGACGGGCACAGTGATCTACGAAGCCAACTGCATCGTCGTCGCCAAAGCCAAACGCCAGACTCGCAAATCCCAACTGCGCCCATCTCGCGGCGCCAACGCCCAACCACCCGCCACCTGCCCAAGCTGCCAACGGACGTTCGAGGCACCAAGCAGCTTTGTAGGACATCTTTGTATCAACCACATCAGCCGGACTACGTCACTTGCCCTCTCCTTGTCCTACTCTGCCCCATCCTTCACGCCGACGACGAATATTGACCGCACTCCCGAATCCCCACTGCCATCCTCCTCCTCCTACTCCTTCACTGCCTCAGCATCCGCTACGGCGGCTCCTGTGCCCACCACAGTGCACACATTTCTGACACACCAACAAACATCAGCCCCCACCAAAGACCTCATCGACGTGGACTCGATCCATGCCTGTCCTCATTGCGATCGCACCTTCACATCACACATCGGCCTGATCGATTACCTGCTAATCCATCGCACAGAAACTGTCGAACCAGTGCTTGGAGTATCCGCATACACTCGCCGCATTCGCCTCCACTGTCCACACTGCCCCTGCACATCTTATTCAACGCATGGGTCTATTCGGTAAAATGCGTATCCACGGGAGAGGGATTGACCACAGCCTCGACAAACCTAGCATTTCCTGCCCATCTACCATGCCCAGCCCCGCCCTCACTCCGTCGCCCTGTGCGGCCAACACCACCACCAGCACACCCAGCTCATCTTGCACATCTACCGTGCCTACCACCGTACCACGCCGTTGGCCAGCGTGTTCACCATCAGCAGCTCCACCGTTGCCACCATCTCCGAAACCAATACTGACATCGCCGACTTTTCCTGCCCACAATTTCCCCGTACATTCACCCCACTCATCGGCCTGGTCGGTCGCTTGCGAATCCATCGCACAGAGACTGACAAACCAGTGCCTGGAGCACCAACATACACCAGACTCATCCGCCTCAACTGCCCTCAATGCACTCGCACATCCACCCACGGCATGGGCCTATTAGGCCGCATGCGCATTCACGAAAACTTGCGGTAGACAACCGCCGGCCAAACCCCACCATCACACCTTCCTACACTTATATCACGCAGAAGTATTCAATTGTCATCTGCCACGCAAGAGGAAAGTGTGTGTCTCGGTCATAACTGCATGAGTGACCCGAGTCCGAGGATATAACGGTACGTCAAGCACCGTGGCTTAGAAGGTTTCTGACTGACGTCCCCACTCAGTCCACGCAGTCCGTCCAGTTGTGTCTGTTTGTGTGGAGTGGCGGACTGGTGGGCTAAGAGCCACACTGAAGCGGCTTCTTCTAAACGTGACCTACAGCACTCTCACGCATGCGAGATGTACGTCGCTCAACCCCCTGTTGTGTGAAATCCTGGTGTTCTTGTTTGGGGGGCCAGGTTGTGCATGTGGCGCGGGCAGACAAGGTCACTAGATATGTTAGTCACCGCACCCGTTCCCCGACCCGGACAGTGATTGTGGCCTGGGAATGAGAAGGGAGTGTGAGGTCGACGACTCAGTGCACTTTCCTCACTACAACCAATCTGACGCGTTTGATGCTATCACGGTGCGTTAAAAGCAGTGGCTTGGAAGGTGGCCAACTGACGGCATAACTTGAACCTCGCAGTCGACCCAGTGTTGTGTTTGTGTTGAGAGGCTGACTGGTGGTCTGAAAGTTAGGCTGCAATGGCTCCTTCTTAATGTGGTCTTTATGACATTCCCACTTCGTGGGAACCGAGTCAGGTGTAGCGGCGAGCCTACGCGCGTCTTCGACCGCGCAGCCCCTTTGTGTTTTTGTTGGTTAAACTCCTGGTCATTTGTTGTGTGGTCCGGGAGTGTGGAGTGGAGCGTCAAGGTGCGGGCTCGACCGTGATATCCACCCGCGCCCTCCCCCGCCTCCGGTCATTTTGACTCAGTCTTGAGACCGGTTCCGGGTGGGGGAGGAGGAGGAAACAATGCGGTAGATTCTGTGTAAGTCTACACTCACTATCAAATAAATTACGCACAAGTCACTGTCCTGCTCTCACCTCGTTGTGGAGCACACGCTGGACATCGTTGGCAACAACGGTTCAACTGTCGTGTGTTTTTCTGTGTGTGCCGTACCTGTAAAGTCATTGGCCTCTCCGGCACCACTCTGGATGCTTGAGAGCCCGCTGTCATATATCCGAACCAATTAACCGACCACCGCTCACGCGTCAGCCCATATTTCGCACGCCAGTCATTATAACTGAATGTGAGGTTGAATAATCTGCATTGCCCTGCCTCCAAGTCAGCGCTCCCATACCCCTCGAACAGTTTAGACGATCGTTCTGGGATTTTTCTGCAAGCAGGGGTTTATTAGTATTTTTGCATTCGCCTAGTGCCCATAGTCCATTTGGATCAGGGCGATGACGAGCGCCTTGGGTTATGGTCCATTGTTAACTTTAATCGAGGGCAGTATATTTTAGAAGGAACATCCACAAGGACGATGGACCAAAATGTTCGGTCTCGGTTTCCTCGCCATCGGCAGCTAACAATATTCCGGCCCCAAGCAGCGGTGACCTGACGTCGGAATCCGGGTTCGATCGGTGAAAGATTCTGCCACCTGGACAACGAGTTCCTGTCTTGCTCGTTGCTATTATGAATTTTCGAATTTACATGGGCGTGGTGCTTACCATTCCGTCTGCCAAAAGGAACCTGTTCCTTCCACTTCGTCTTGCTGTCCCAAGTTAGAGTCTTAAGGTGTGGCTGGTTGATGACACCAAGCAGGGCAAAACAAGTCAGGTCAGTCTGCTACATTTTTCCCCGAATTCCTTTTACATCATCGACTGTTTACCGATGAATGACGGCTTGCAAGGCTTCTAGACTAGAGCTCAAGGGAAAAAGCAACAAGGAGACTCCCTCCAGAGATTCGATCGGAGAAATGACACTTCTGTTGTGATAGCTTAGGTCAGGTCCCGAGTAGTAAGAGGATAAGTTAGACGCCAATAGAGAGAGAGAATTGTATTCTATACAGAGCTGAGGAAGAATAAGTTGCGACAGTAGTTAGCAGCCGGACGGGAAGCGCACATCCAATGCCGCTGGGATAAGCATCCGGGCGTTTTGTGCGAGGGCATGCCGAGGTCAACGCCTCAATTGATTGGCCCATTTGGGTGGTTGCGATTGCCAGAAAACCGTACGGAGCCTCTCGATTTCAGGCGTTGGCCAGACGCGATGAGGATATTGTATAGAACCGCAGAATGTCCGACGGATGACTGCCGCTGGCGCGTATGTGCAAGTGTGCGTTAGACAGAGGGCGCATGTTGCAGTAGACGCCTGGGGTAGGATCGTCACACCCTACGCCACTGCAACACACTTTGCATGTTCCGCAATGTTCTTAGTATTTATTTAATTTACTGCTTCCCAGAAAGCCAGTGAACGCGTCCAATAAGACTATGGCCGGACAAATGTCCAGTAGAATGAGATTACCAACAAAAGCAGTAACGACCAGAATGGCCATTCCTAATTTAATAGCCATCATCAGCCAGCCATGTGCAGCCCCAGTTCTGCAACTCTGGGCCTCGGACCTGCGTTCTGTTGGTTAGAAATCCAACGCTCTAACCACTGGGCCAGAGGTTTTAACGCGATTATGTCTATACTATTGGCTGCTGTGCGACTGCCTCCTGCTCTCTGGATCGAGTCTCAAGACACAATGGCGCCAGTATGTCTCGCAACGCGATCGGTGAATGACCCTCTACCGACAGTATCAAGCAATTTTACCGAAAACCATGGAGACACTGAACTAACCGCCTTTTGTTCAGCAACCGCCAGCAGTCAGTGATTTTCAAACTCTGCATATTTGCCCACCTGAAGTGTGAGCATGGGTTCATTGAGTCATTGAGCTAGGGGTCCTCACCATTTAGAACACAGGGTTTCCGTTGCGTGCGGAAATAGACGAGGTTATATAAGAGTGACGTTCGCCAGTAATTTCTAATTGTTTGGACGAAATGGAGCTTGGAACTCCGGGTCTGATGTTCATGCAAGCTGTTGTGGAAAGATTGCCTATCGGCGATAAAATGGTATCAACCACAAACATTCGTGACACTGGAATTGCCATTTTTGGCCTTCTGGCCGTCAGATGCCGGTTATTTCTAATGCTTGCATGTCTCTTGTGCCATATGTCCTGTTAGTTGCGCCACAAGCTTAATATCTGTAGACTGCGACTGGAAATGTTCAGACACATTAAAATTGGGAGTGGCTGACTGACTGACAACGGTTTATGAACCAGAACTAGCAATTCCAATCTTCCATGCCTTGTCGGCAACAGCTCTCGGTTATTACGAATTCTGCTGATAGAAGCGACGAGGACAAGACACGGGAACAGGAAATCCCAAATTCGGGGAATACCGAACTACTTTACATGTAGGCTGGGATTAATATTATGGGTCAGGGTTAAGTTACGGGTCAGGGGTGCGACAGGGAATTTTGCGCAAAGCCACCTGTACTATCGGGGGAGGGAGAGTTCCGGCTAGATCGCAGTTGGTAGCCAGGCTCTGTATTACAGGTGGCTGGAGTCAGGGGGGTTGTTTACTGGGTCTATTTCGTGGGGTTCCATAATCACATCTGATCCATTTGGCTTCCATTTTACGTTTTAGGTTAGAATTAGGGTACCGGTTAATGGTTTTCGATTTTCGGGTTAGGGTTATGTATTTAGGCTTAGGTTTTCGGGCTACGATTAGGGTTTGAGCGTAGGATTAGGTTTCAGTATTACGGTTAGGTTATTCAGTTACGTCTATGTCTAAGGGCCACGGTTACGTTTACGAGTTCGGTTAGGGTCAGAGTTAGGGCTACGTTAGGGTTAACGGTTGACGTTTAAGGTTGAGGCTGGAGTTAGGTTTGAGACTAGGATTGGGGCTAAGGTCGCCATCCGCATCCTCATTCCTGGCTACAAACTGCGATCTAACCAGAGTTCCTATCCCCGTGTCTTATCGCTAGGAACAGACCGTTCAGACCTTTTATATTGTTGAAATAATGCAATGGACAAAGCCATCGACTACCACATACAAGGCGCTGACTACTCTTGGGATCAAAGAGGACCAGCAGGACAGATGCTGGAAATCGGCGTTAACACAGAACATCTTTTGGCAGAACGATCCACTGGCTTTAGTGGCGGCTCGGGATTTGCAACAAAATCACACCTTTACCGGTGCTGCTAAGACGATGAGATAACAGGTCTGGAGTAAGACGCGGAGCTAGGTAACTGAGGCATCCATCAATCAGTACACGTGTCAAAGTAACGCCTCGTCGTCCTCGCAACAAGTCAAACTTGGAAACGAAAGCAAGGGATGATTGGCTAGTTCTCCATTATTTTTTTGCTGCTTCTAGCATATCTCCGATGCTATCATCGGAGATATCAGGCTCAATATAACAGCCTTCCTGTTCCGTGACCCTTCCTCTTCATCCCTGGGATGCGTACCCTCCCATAACTTTAGCAGTGTCCTGAATTCAAGAACTTGCGCATTCAGTTGAACGTTAACAAGTGAAACCAAACATGGTGTTGGTAGGCTGCTCAGATTGTTGAATAGCGTGCGTGCTCGGGTTTCACCAGCCGGGTGTTGGTATGAAGCAAGAAACCAGTAATGCTCCAGGAGAATTGATAGGAAAGAAGCTCCAGTTCCAACGTTTCGACGCGTGAATGGGGTGATGGGCATGCTTTAACAAACTTTGAAGAATGCGATATTGCAATACTGTTACCTCAGGCGTAGTGGCGATCTCCGACTGGTGCTGGCGAAATTGAAGTCAGCGTTCGTTCTCGGATCGGACATGCTCTGTCTGGAAATCAGGTTGCGGCGCCGAGTCTCCTCGTCGAGCTTATCGAATAGATGCGAGCCCAAGGTGCACTGACACCTCACCCCGTTGCCCACGCATACCACTTCCGCGGGGCTACATAAACTGATGAAAGCGAAAGACCCCTGTTTCGTCCTTCAATCAGGTCAGACCGGTGCTCGACACACTCCAGTGACTGAATGAATTCTGAATCACACTCGGAGGGTGCATTGACGCCTTGGTGCCCTCCC